GTGAAGGACCTTAAAAGCCAAGAACAAGTTTATATTTTTTACAAGGTAAAGTTTGTAAGCTTGGTTTTGAAAAACATATAGTTTGATAAATGGGTTTCCATAGAATTGACTTCCTCTCTAATTGAAGACGTTTACCTACACTTCCCAGAAAAACCTTAAAACTTTGAGATTCCTTGTAGACTCACTTCTCTCTCTTTGACAAAAAGAACCTGGCTTCAGTTTGGTTTACCAGTCCCAGGAAACCCTTCAAGTTTTAGAAACTGCCTTATTGCCCTTTGAAAGCAAACTCCCCCTCCCAGCTCCCTTCATTCTCAACTCTCATTGTCTGTTCAAATCAGACATTCCAAACGGAAATTCTCACCTGGACCCTTTTCCAAACGGTCCACCTCCCCAGTCAACTGGCTTTCCCATTGTTTTGCCTTCCTGGCCATTGCCACCCTTGATCCTAGCTAGGCTGCCAGTGTTCCCTTTGCCCCAGCTTGCTGGCCACCCCCATCCAGATCTCCCTAGACCCCTCCTCCCCTCACCCCAAACTGCTTGGCCACTCCTTGGACCCCTCCTCCCATCACTCCAAGCTGCTTGGCCCCTCCCCAATCACTCTGTAATTAAGGCTCACCTTTCCCCCATTCTGATGCTGAGCTGTTCTCGAGCTTAGAAGCATGACACCCCTCATGCCAGCCCGTCTTAAGGGCATCACCTGGCCTGACCACCCTAGCCCCAGCCCCCACTCAGACGCTGAGCTTTCTACACTGCCTCACGCTGCTCATCCTTGTGAGCGTCACCTGACCGCCTTGAACCCTATTTAGAGCACAGGTACGTAGGTTCTTTTCCAATCTGGCCTGTAGGCTTATCTTTAATAAACTTTTCTCTGGCTGGAAGATCTGAGTTGAATTCATTCAGGCAGATCCGTGCCGTGATTTGGGCCTTTCCCCACGATCTTGGGGTGCCTCTGTGCATCTAAGAGCACCCCAAACTCCCCCCTTCATAATCATACGTATTTTTTTTTCATATTGTGAGAAAGGGATCCTTTGGACAAGGTGTCGCCAGACACCAAAGGCATTCGGGTCACAGAAAAGGTCAAGACCCTTGTTCTCGAGGGAAGAGGCAGCCACTTATGAGGGCTGCTATAGAGGGAATTCTTCCTCCAGTATGAGTGACACCACATGGCTTCTGATTGCCTCTTCCAACTCTGATCTTCTGTAAATCTGTCAGGTGGTAGCACTAGGGTCAAGGGGAAAGAAGGAATGACTCTTTCTCTGAAACTGGAGAAGAATTCAACTGGAGAGATACCAGGAATGCCCTTCTGTTGGTCTTCCATCACTTACCTAGAAATGTGCATCTTGGTACATCTCCCTCTGGGAGCCATAGGGCTTCACCTCTCTCCAACTGAGAAATCACTTGTGGTTTGTAAACAGGAAGCCCTGCTCAGGGGAAAGAAACAGGATGTACTGAAGACAGAGCACCATCCCAGCGCCTTCCCTCTGTTAATTATTTCCTATTTTTCCTGTACATCATTTTCTTTCCTATATATTTGTTTACATGTTGTCTACACCATTAGATTGTAAGCTCCTTGAGGGCAGGAACTCCCTTTTACCTTTTTGTATCCCCAGGGTTTAGCACATAGTAGGTACTAATAAATGTTTACTGAATTGAATTGAATCAAATTCTATTAGAAGCCCCAGGGAGTAGTAACAAAAGACTTCTGTAGAACACCGTACATTGTATTCCCAGGGAGTGCAGGGAATGGATCACAGGGTGAACACTGAAGTTCAAATCAAACTAATCCATTGTGGTCCAACCCCAGCTATGAAATATGAACCTTTCACATCTCTGGCATATGTATTCAAATAATCAATCAATGGACAAATCCCATTAAGAGCCTACTGTGTGTGAGGCACAGTACAAAGCACTGGGGATACAAAGACAAGTCTTGCCCTCAGGGAGCTTATATTCTGTAGGGGGTGATAACATGTAGATTTATAAGCACATGCAAAGTAAATGCAAAATAATTTAGGGGGTGAGGCACTAGGAGCTGGAGAGGGCCAGAAAAGGATTCCTATGAGAGGTGGCATTTGAGCTGGCCTTTGAACGTAAGGATCATGTGAGCCCCTCCAAAGAAAACCTAGGTTAACCAATCAGAAAAGGCGCCCTGCTTGATATAACAGACATGCCTCGAGTGCTCTCCAACTGAACCCAAAGCTCTCCTGCTGAATCTAGCTGATTGGGAGCATTCTTCTGAGAAGGACCAGGCACCCTTGGACGTTTCCCTTTTCTTATTATTTTATGACTCTCCCTGGTTAAAGACACTGTCTTGAATAATGGCATTTCTCTTATGGACACTGTTATGTTTTATGACGTCATTGCTTATGGTAGAAGAAAACCAGACATTCTGGGCATCCTCTTGGAGCTATCATGTCCACTGACACTACGGCACCTCTCTCATTTTACTGCCTTGTGGACCATATCTTCTTATGGGCTCTGCCCCGTTCTCATTTTAGGTCGTTTCTGTGGTCGTGGCTAACACACATGGGGACTAGCATTTTGGGTGACACAGGCGTCCTGAGTCAGGAGGAGAGGAGGTCTTGCTCTGAAGATATAACAGTTCCCTTCAAATATCTCCTCTTTGAGTTCAGAATTATTTCTGACTCCCGTACATATGCTTCTCTAGCTTAAAGAGAATAAACAGCACATATACAACCTAATTCCATTTGTTTCTTTATACACCAAACCTCCGACCAGGTTGACAAAGGAAATGAGCTAGAGATTCTGACAGACAGAGGTGAGCAGAAAGTGCATTCCAGGCACAAGGGACAGAACTGTACAAAGCATGGAGATGGGATACGGGGTATGGCGCATGGGGAAATGAATGCATGAAGGGCAGTGCCAAGACTTTAGGAGAGAATCTTTCACTGGCAATTCAATTCAGTCACCATTTCTTAAGCATCTACTAGTTGTGTGCCAGGTACTATGCTAGGCTCTGGAAATAGAAGACAAAATGAAAATGGAGCACCAACACAGAGTCCCTGGCACTAAGAGATGAAGGAATTCATCCACTTTGAGAATATCCCCATACAGCAAATCACACCAGACCTAAGTACTCCAGACATCCTGCAGCCTTTAGGAGGCCACTATCCAGAAAGAAATAGGCTCCAAACATTTTAATGGTGGCTATGAGAGATTCAATGGAAAAGCAGAATCATTGACCTACTGTCAGAGAATCCTCAAAACCAGAGACTATGGTGGGGGGGATTATCATTGTAGGAGCAGTCCTGAAAATTACAATTTCTACGTTGTCTCCTGGCAGTTCCTCACTCATGACACTCTGTCTCTGTCTCTGTCTCTCTCCCCCCTTCTCTGTTTCTCTCTCTGTCCCTGCCTCTGTCTTCTCTCTCTCTCTCACTCTGTCTCTCTCTGTCTTCTCTCTCTCTCTCTCACTCTCTCTGTGTCTCTCTGTCTCTGTGTGTCTCTCTCTCTCCTCCCTCTTTCTCATCTCCTCTTAGTTTTCCTGCTTCTTTCAAGTCTCACCTAAAGTCTGACCTTCTACAAGCAGCCTTTTCCAGAAATGGGTTCTGCACGACCGCACATACTTGTTTTGTTTTTCTTGCCTTCTCATTGGGTGGGGGAGGGGGTAAGAGGAGGGAGAGAATTTGGAACTGAAGATGATAAAAGTAATAACAAAAACAACAACAATAAGGTCTCTGTGCTTTAAAATAAATAAGCACAGATAATTGTTTTGAAAAAGAAAACAAAAACTGAACTAAAAAGGGAGTTGTTCGCAGTGTTCCTTAGCCTTAGCGCCTTCTTTCCGAAACCACCCCCACTGTCTTCTGCACGTTCCTTGTTTGCACACACAAGGTCTCCCCCATTAGACTGTGAGCTCTTCGGAAGCAGGAACCGTTTTGCCCTTCTTTGTATCCCCAGCCCGCAGCACAGTGCCTGGCACATAGTAGGCACTTATAAATGCTTCTTGACTTGACTATGAGCTCCTACATATTTCCGTCAAGCTCAGTATGAATGAATCAGGAATTGAAAAGGACCTTGGAGACTAGCTTAATCCACCCTTTTATGTTCCAGATTAGACAGCTGAGGCCCCAGAGATGTGAAGCGATTTGTCCACAGTCATATAACTAAAAAGCGGCAGAGTCAGGATTAGAACCTGGACCTCCTGAGTGCGAGCCCATTGCTCTTTCCGCTATCTCACGCCTCGTATGACGGACCTCCCAGATAGAGAGGTTTTTGTTTGGCGATAAGAGCTGGGTAGAAGAGAAAGGGACGATGGCTACTGACCCAGCAGCTGCTGGGACTACTGCAGGGTGCGCCAGATCCATCCTCAATGTGGTTGTCAAACTGCTATTCCGAAAACATGGATCTGACACAGTGCTCCCTTGCTCAGAAATGTTCAGAGCTGCCGTATTATCTCCCCTACAGCACTTAAAATATGACTCGATTCACAAAAATCGGATTGCCTCGACTCTAAAACACAAAATTCCCAGCTCGGCCTTTAAAGCCAGCCCTACAGTAGGGCTCCCACCCAGACTGGTTTTCCCAGACTTGCTTCTGTCATGGTACGTCCTCCCTTCAAGCCCCTTCCACACGGATCAAACCGGGCTGGTTGCGTCTGGACGTAGCATCCCACCTCCTACTTCCACGTCCCCATCCTGGCTTCACCTCTACCACCTTTCAGCGTCTCCGGCTCCCTGCAAAGCACAGCTCGGGTCTGACCTGCTACGAGCAGCCTCACCAGATTCCTCCCGTTAGCAGCGCCCATTTCCCTCTAGAGTAATTTATGTAATTTTGTGCTGCTTATCTTCACAGATGGCACATCCCCCACATCTAAGTAAAACTCCTTGAAGACAGTGTTTTGTTTCTGTTTTTGCCTCCCCGGCACTTAGCACAGTGCTTTGCACATAGTAGGCATCTCATAAATGCTTCAGAATGGCACCGTTGACTCTCCAGTGGTCAGATGCCAGCTCCGGGGGCAAGCTGTCCTTACCAAGGGAGACAAAGTTCTGATAGTTCTCCAGCATCACCTCCCTGTACAGGTCCTTCTGGGCCGGCTCCAAGCGCCCCCACTCCTCCTGGGTGAAGTCCACAGCCACATCCTGGAACGTCACCAATTCCTGAAAGAATCAACATTTTGATGGTGCGGTGGATGGAGCACTAGGCCTGGAGCTGGGAAGACTTGAGTTCAAATCCAGCCTCAGCCTTTTGCTACAGGTTTAACCACATCACCCACATTCTCCTACTCAGACTCCAGCGATTCGTTCTTACCTTCAGGATTAAACGTTGGGCATTTAAAACTCTTCACAAGTCGGCCCTTTCCCACCTTTCCAGTTTCTCCCTTCCCCCACTCCACAATTCAGTTCTACCGGCCTCCTTGCTATACCTCATATGTGATGCTCATCTCTCATCTCTAGGCGTTTGCATTGGCTGTCCCTCAGGCCTGGAGTGCTCTTTCTCCTCACCTCCACCTCTTAACTTCTCTGGCTTCTTTCAAGACTCAACTTACGGCCTTTGCCTTGGGACTAGAAACCAGCTCCAGGCAGCCCTGATGCTTGGCTGAAAGACCACCAGGCCCACTCAGCGGCAGCCAGATCAACCAGGGATGTCCTCGATGCACTGCCTGGTTGAACAGCCTTGTGCTGTGGCTAAATAAGTCTCCTTTTGTGAACAGCTGAATGACCTCAAGCATTTCATTTCATTTCAGTACCAAACGTAGTATTTGTACCATATTCTACCCAGAAACCAGCCCAACTCAGAGCCAGCCCAGAAAAGAAGGAACAATGTTTTTGCCTCTCTTTGCATCTCCAGGACTTAACACACATATGATCAGAGCTCAATACATGCTGGCTGATTGACGCTACTTTCTTTCTTTTTCTTTTCTTTTTTCCCTGAGGCATTTGGGGTTAAGTGACTTTCCCAAGGTCACACAGCTAATAAGTGTTAAGTGCCTGGTCTGAGACTGAATTTGAACTCAGGTCCTCTTAACTTCAGGGCTGGTACTCTATCCACTGCACCACCTAGCCACCCCTTGATGCTACTTCCTAATTCGATATATCACTCTCCATTACTGACCACAAGGTTTGGGGAATAATCAATCAACCAGCATGTACTAAGCACTTACTGTATGTATACAAGGCACTGTGCTCAGGAGTCAGATTATAAATCACAGATATATATGTGAGCTTTATCTCACCTCTAGGCATTAACAACTGTGACCTCAAACCACTCCTCCCTTTATTCGAGGTATCCACGGTGCCCTATCTCTCCTCCTTCCAGGAGAAGGGGGTATCACAACTCACTGGGGGGAATATGGTTAGTGGACCTTTGCAGATTCATAGGATTTTCAAGTAGGTGGCACATCCCAATCAGGCCTGGAGTTGGGAAGACCTGAGTTCAAATATGACCTCAGACACTTACTAACTATATAATCATGAGTAAGTCACTTAACATCTGGCTGCCTCACTTTCCTGATCTGTAAAATGGGGATAACAATAGCAACCTACCTCCCAGGTAAGGCTCAAATAAGATATTATTTGTAAAAGCATTTAGCACAGTGCCTGGCACATAGGAAGCATTGTAGAAATGTCAGCTGCTATTGTCATTATTATTATTCAAAAGGGAGAGGCAGGACAGGCCACAAGGATGGTGAAGAGACAATGCAGGCTGGTTGAAGGAGCGGGGTGCCGAGTCCAGAGAAGAGAAGGCTCAGGGGAGACATGATGTTGTCTTCAGGTATCTGAAGGGCCATCCCACGGAGGTGTCTTCTGCTCGGCTCAAAAGGGCAGATCAAGAAGCAACGGGTCAGAGTTGTGAAGACGTGCATTTAGGTGTGAGGCAAAGAAAAGCTCCCTAGCCCCGGGAGAGAGATCCAAAAGTGAAGCTGGCTTTCTCAGGTAGTGAGGGAGTGAGCTCCCTGTCACCAGAGGTCTTCCAGAAAAACCCAATGGCCATCTGGGTGCAGGGTAGATGCTCGGTCGTTTCGCATCCTCAAAGCCCTTGATATTTTCAAATGGCTCAACTTTCAAGAGGATATGTTGGACTGTTTTTTAATCGGATAGCTGCATGGCACGGTAGCTAGAACCCTGTGCCTGGGCGTCAAGAAGACCTGAGTTTGAATCTATCTCAGACATTTACAAGCTGTGTGTCTCTGGGCAATTAACAACCTCCATCTGACTCAGTTTTCCCATTTGTAAATGGGAATTATAATAGCATATACCTCACAGGGTTGTGAGGATTAAAAGAGATAATATATGTATATATTTATTATAATAGAAAACAATACAGGACAACTGAATTCAAGTCAAATACAAATATAGTTTTTGACCCAGATAACCGTCTGAAACATTCATTCTTTCTGTTACAAATGGTACTCAAAGAGTCCAAAGCTATGTGTACTATCAGTTACATGAGATAATTTTTCTGAATGGTTTTTTTTTAATTAGAGAGTATTATGAATTTGGGGAATTGCTTATTTGGAATTAACAGATATATCAAAACAAAGTGTATTATATTGTTTAATGTAAGGAAACAAAATAATTTATGGGGGACAAGGTTAATAGACTCAATTATATAATATCTGCCTGGTGAAATATAAGAAAATTTGAAAAATAAAAAGAAATGGAATAAGAAACATGATTCTTCCTACATATGCATCATAAAGCTTCATTTGTAGAATTTATAGGCAATTGATACAAATCTATGAGTATAATATGTAATCTCAGTGGACAAAGGGCCAGAGGGCCAGACAGTCTACAAATGAAGGAATATGCCTAGTAATAATAATAATAATAATAATAATAGCTAGCATTTACATAATGCTTCAAGGTTGACAAAATGCTTTACAAATATTATCTCATTTGAGCCTCACAACTCTAAGAGCTAAGTGCTATTATTATCCTCATTTTACAATTAAGAAAACTGAGGCAGACAGAGGTTAAGTGACTTGCCCAAGGTCACCAAGCTAGTAAGTGTTGGAGGCCAGGTTTGAACTCGGGTCTGCCTGGCTCTAGGCCCAGTGCTCTAACCACTAGCTACAAATACTTTGCAAAATATTCAGCATCACTAATTACTAAAGGAATAAAAAGTTAGCATGTGAGGTACTGCCTTACACCAACTAAAGTAACAAAAATAAACGAAAATGATCAAACTTAATGTTAGGGGAGCTGGCAGGAAACAGACAAGCTTAGACATTCTGGTGTCTTTGAAATATCCAGTTTTGCTGGGTAACGATCTGGCACTTCCAGGCTTCCCTCATTCTAAGAATTCACCCAAGCCCTAATTTCCTGTCCCTGTATTTCCAGCACTGCTATCATATGTGGGTAACCTGTTTCCCCACTTTCCTTTCCTTTGCCTTTCCCATACCCTCCAGAAGACTAATTTTTTTTCTGATCAAGTCAAATCAACAAGCATTTATTAAGCACTTACTATGTGCCTGGCACTGTGCTAAGCACTGAGAATAGAAATATAAGCAAACAATCGGGAAATCTGATTTAGGATGTGCGTAGATTTAGGAGGGGGTCAGCGCTGGAAAGGATATGAGAAATCATGTTAGCCTCCCCCCTCCCCATTTCACACATGGGGAAACTGAGGCCCAGAGACGTGATGTACCTACCCAGGTTCACCAGGGGTAGGACCTGGGCCAGGATCCAGTCATCTTCCCATTCTGCCCTAGCCCTGTCCAGCGAATGCTTCTTCCAAGCTTTCTGCCTGCTGCCGAAGTCTCCTCTTTGGACATTCATTAGGGTTCTTTTTGGTTGTTTCCCTTTTTAAAAAAGGTGTTTTATTTTTAATCTGTTATTACATCACATTCACTGATTTGCAACTCAGTGGTGCAGTGGATAGGGCACTGGGCCTGGAGTCAGGAATACCTGAGCTCAAATCCAGCCTCAGTCACTGACTAGCTGTGTGACCATGGGCAAGTCACTTAGCCTCTATCTGCCTCAGTTTCCTCATCTCTAAGATGGGGCTAATAATAACCCTTGCCTTACAGGGTTGTTGTGAAGATCCAGTGAGAAAATGCATATGCACAGTGTTCTGTAAACCTTAAAGCACTATGTAAATGCTAGGTATCATTATTAATGATGCAATAACAATAATAATGAATGTATTTCTCTCCCTTCCCTTACCCAGTGATTTTCCCCTTGTAACAAAGATAAAAACAACAGTTCAGCAAAGCCCACCAACGCATCAGTCGTATCTGACAGTATCAGTAACATCTAGTAACAGCACCTGCCTCTCACAGTTGGTGGGAGGACCAAATAGGATAACGTTTGTAAAGCGCTTCGCCCAGTGCCCGGCACATGGGAGGCCCTATATAAATGTTAGCCCTTATTATTATTCTTATTTCTCCTCCTTTCACTGCTCCCCTAAAAGGAGAGAAATATGCTTTCCTATCTCTTCTCTGGGGCCAAGCTTAGTCATTACATGTCTGTGGAGTTCACTTACATTTTTATCATTTTTTACCTTTCCAATGGTATCTTCATTATGTTTATTTTTTTTTCTTGGTTCTGCTTACTTCACACAAATATTTCTGTATTTTTCTGAATTCCTCATATTGGTTATTGGGCTGGTCAGAATTTCTAAGTCTTTCAAAGTTTGTCTTTACAGTATCTTTGTCATTGTATAAATTGTTCTCCTGGTTCTGATCACTTAACTCTGTATCAGTTCACACGAGTCTTCTCAGGTTTCTCTGAAACCATCCCCTTCCTCACATTTTTTATTTTAGGCAATTGGGGTTAAGTGACTTGCCCAGGGTCACACAGCTAGTAAGTGTCAAGTGTTTAGTCTGAGGCTGGATTCGAACTCAGGTCCTCCTGACTTTAGGGCCAGTGCTCTATCTACTGCGCCACCTAGCTCCCTTCCTCATTTCTTAAGGCACAAGAGTATTCCAACCCATTCATATACCATACTGTGTTCAGCCATTCCCCTCAGTGTCTAGTTGTCATCACAGAAAAGCTGCCACCATTAACTTCTTTTAAAAAACTATATTTAATTTTTTTCCAATTACATGTAAAAACAAAATTTTGACATTAGTATTTTAAAATTTTGAGTTCCTAAATCTCTCCTTCCTTCGCCCTCCATGAGAAGGCTGGATTGGACATGATTACAGGGCACCAGGCAAGGACAAGAGAAAGAGAGGTTTGAGAAATAAGACGGCATTTCAGAAGAGGCAGGAAAGCCTAACTCACCTGGGACTTGGCCGTCAGGTGCCCAGATGTCACTCCCTCCACCTCCTCCTTCACCCTTCTCATTGGCGGAAGGACAAAATCTTGAGAGAGCAGAGCTGGGGGAAAAGAAAAGAGGTAAGCGGCCAGTCCTAGAGGGCAGCTCCCAGACCCAGCAGGAGGACAGCTCCCCACGCACAGTTGGCTGGGAGGCCAGGGGCAGCCTTGTTGGATCTCCTTGGCTCACAGCCATGGCTCGTGGGCCCGACTCGGCAGGTTCCCAGGGACAGAGAACGTCCCACTCTGCCCTGGGTGACACTGAGTATGAGACTCAAGGTCTCCGTGCCTCAGTTCCTTCACTTTTGGAGGGAGGAGGAAGGGTGGTCCAAATCTGTGACTTCACTCATGTCAGAGGCTCTCCAGTGAGGAACGTCCCTATAGCAATCCTCGGCTTCTCCTAGTCCTAAGAGGGTTGTCTAGGGCACTGGGAGGCTAAGTGCTTTGTCTCGGGTCACACAGGCCATGGACCTAGAGGTGGAAGGGGGCCCTGCCTCTAGCCCGGACCCCTGAGCATCCAGTCTACTGAAGTCTGTGGACTCCTCACAATCACGTCTCTAGGTGTATAAAATAAAATGCATAGGATTACAAAGAACCAATCATACTGAAATACAGTCACTAAAAGATAAGAACCACTTCAGTCCTAGAAAACGGAAATGACTTGCCCAAGGTCATGCAGGTAAGGAGCATCAGAGATGGACTTGGACCCAGATCTTTCGGACCCCAAGGCGGTCTCCCAATCCCCTTTGCTGCTAGGCTGCCTCTCCACATCAAATTCAGTGTTTCCATTCCCTTCCCTGGTTTATAGGCAATATGCGGGATCTGTTTGGCTTGGCCTCTGATGGCAGAGCTCGGGACAATGGGTGGACAAGACCAGGAGTCATGGGCGGAAGTCACCAAGCACCCATTTGGGCCCGATGTCAGGAGAACACGATGTCCCAGTGGTTAGAGCCATCCCTAGGGGGGAGGTCAGTCTTCCACCACTCATCAGGTATATCTCTTTCCCAAAAAGACTGAACCAGAAGGCTCCCAAGTAGCCTGACATTCTGTGATTTGGTGTGAACCAACTAGCTGAACTGGTGGAAAAAGCTAATTGATGTCAGCAGACATCTAGCTTTCAGAAGCCCCCCGTGTCAGGAGCAGTGAATGGAAAATCACTCCCAACCTCGCTTTTGGGAACAAATTTTACACGCTACAGAGCTTGGGAGAAGGAGAGAAAGGGCTGGAAATGGACTGATTGCCCAGGGACGGGCGCTACTGAGGGATGATGAAGGCAGCGGAAATTGACAGTGGTGCTTTTAAAAATGAAGAAGGCAATATCAGTAAGACCTCAGGGATTGAGAGCTGGAAGCAACCTTAGAGACCACTGAGTCCACCCCCCTCATTTTACAGGTGAGGAAACTGAGGCAGACAGCAGTTAAGTGATTTGCCCAAGGTCGCACAGCTAGTAAGTATCTGAGGCAGGATTTGAACTTGGGTCTTCTCGGCATACCACTCAAGATCCGCCTCGTCGCCTCATCTGTAAGAGTCTTCACTCACCAAGCCATGGAGATCTGCTCTTCCCTACCTTACATCAGAACATCAGGAAGGACGCGGTTCTGCGGGGCCCAGAAGGAGAGCCCAGGGATGGCACTCTCCCAGGGGCGACGCGACCGCCTTGCTCAGACTGAGGGGTGGCAGGTGAATGGAGCTAGACCCAGACTGCCTTGGCTACTCTCGCAGAACGGAGACAGAGGATTCTAAGTCCCTTCCAGAACTGAACCTGTGACCCGATGAACGGTGTTTGAGGCAGGAGGGGCTCTGTTACGTCTGGGCTCCTGCCCTCCCTGCCAAGAAGCCTGCCTCATCTACCTCCCCGAAGGGACCAGGCGCTGCCGTCCCTCCCCCGTGGCTCTTCTCCACACTGCCCCACGCCCCCAGCCCCAGAACTCCTCACCTCTCTCTTCAAGCACGAGGAGCCAGGAGGCCTCCGTGGCCACCTCTCCTCAAGGCTGGTCTTAACGTCTGGCTTTTCTCAAGTCCTTTCTCCCCGGCCCCAGTGACGGGGACTTGTCCAATCACCCAAAGCTCCAGGACATCTTCCTTTCGTAGACTCAACGCTGAAGGTCCAGGCAAAGGTCTGGGCACAAGGAGGATGGATTTGGGCTCCAGAGGGCTGTTTTCCAATCCCTCCACCTTTCTGAAGAGCTGCTCACTGGCGCTCTGTGGATTCACCTTCAGGGTGCTGGGGGCCAGAGACAAAGTAGAGTCATCCATGAGACGCAGCAAGTGCCCCCAAGCACTTAGCGCAGTGCTTGGCACAACAGTAGGCACTTAATAAATGCTTATTGGCTGACTGGCTGACGATCACACATTCTAGGCCAGGCCCACACAGAGTATGTGCTGTTTTTTGCATGTTATTGTCTCCCCACCTGGCCCCAGAACATGAGCTCTTGGAGGGCCAGGCTGTCTTTGCCATTCTTTGAAGCCCAGCACTTAGCAAGGTATCTGGCACACAGCAGGCGCTTAATAAATGCTTGCTGATGGATTAAGTGCCAATACAAAACTAGGCATGAAATCATTTCCCATGATTGCACCCCATTCATTTGACAATTACCTAGTACACACAGCATGCCAAACCGTAGCAGATACTACTAGACCAGAGATCTTAGATGGGAGATGGGAGGCTAGAGAGACACCCAAAGGTGGGAGGGGGAAAAGGCAGCTGAACCGAGATAGCTAAGCGGCACTGTGAATAGGGTGCTGGACCTAGAGTCAGGAAGACCTGAGTTCAAATCCTACCCAGCCACTTAATTAACTTGTGACCCTGGATGAGTTACTTAACCTCGGCCTGCCTCAGTTTCCTCATGAGATAATATACATAAGTATTATGTGAATGGTAGGCCTGCAGGAGGCCTTTCCCTCTGAAATCACCTTCCATCTACCCTCTGTGTGTGTGTGTGTGTGTGTGTGTGCGTGTGTGTGTGTGTATGCATGTGTACATGACGGGCATGAACTGGATTTCAGTGAGGCAGAGCTGCACAGTCTCAGCCTCACTCTCCTCCGGAGCCATCAAAGTCCAGCGGCAAGACAAAAGTCTGGAGGACCGGTGATGGCCCAGGCTGCCGGGGGCGGCTGACCGAGCTCAGCAGCAACATATGTGTATGGTGTATGTGTGTGTCGTGTGAGTGTAGTACAATAAATACAAAATACGTAAATACATATAACACAATATATCCTGTGTGTACCTAGTTATTTGCATGTTGTCTCCCCGATAGAATGTCAGCTGCCTGAGGGCAAGGGCTGAATCTTTGCCTCTCTTTTTATCCCCAGCTCTTAGCATTGTTCTTCTGACCCGTCAGACTCTTCCTGACCCCATTCAGGTTTTCTTGGCAAAGATACCGGAGTGGTTTGCCTTTTCATTCTCCAGCCCATTTGGGGAACTGAGACAAACAGGGTGAAGTGACTGGCCCAGGGTCACCCAGCTGGGAGGTGTCTGTGGCCACATTTGAACTCTGGAAGATGAGTCTTCTGACCCCAGGCCAGGGTTCTAGCCGCTGAGCCACCCAGCCTAGTGCTGGCACACGGTCAGGGCTTGTGGCCTGACTTCCCTGCAGCCACCCCTCCTCCCGACCTTTCCCTGTCCTAGGCACTCCAGCAATCTCTCTAAACGGCATCTCCCTGGACCTCCTGGCATCATACATACATGATGTACATACGTGCATACATGATATGCGCCTGCCATCACAGATGCTCACAGCCCCCCTCAGACTGCCAGCTCCAGCTTCCTGAGGCCCCCAACACCCAGCCCTCAGGCTCTCCAGCCTGGGGTCTAAGAGTGTTACCCCAAGACGCTGGATCTGGTGCCTAGGACAGAGCTCCCAGGTCTGTGTGTCTACACAGGGAGACAGACCCCCGGCACAGACAGAAGCGGGGCTCTGCTCTCGGAGTGAGCTCCGAGTCTGAGCACACCCCCATGCCCTGCCCTCCAGCCTTGCAGAGCCCCTTCCCCTCCCTCTGGCACACATGCACGTGCAATCCCACACGTACACGACTGTACACATGCACAATCCCCAGCCCCTCGCACACTCACACACGCACGTCACGCCCATGCACACACAAGCCCAGCTCCCCTCCCTGGCTCCTGTCCAAGTGCCCCAGGAACAAAGCACCCCCTCCATCCCTACCCCTGCCCAGACCTGGAGATCTGCGCCTACGCACCTGAACCCGGTCCTCAGGACACCGCTTAGGAAGATGTTTAGGGGATCCCTGGACAGGTCACTCTTCAGGGATTCTGGGAAATGAAGGCGTAGAAGAGAACACGGCCTGAAGGATTCTGGGAAATGTAGTCCAGAAAAAAGTACATGCTCCAATTAAGTGTGCAGTAAGAGGAATGGGGGGGGGCGGGGGCCCAGGAACATATTTTGGTAAAAAGGGTTTAATTAAATTCAACAAATACTTATTAAATTTCTATTGTGTGGAGGACCCCATACTAGAGACTGGGGGGGAAATATGAACTGTCCCTGTGTCCCCCATGTAGCTTAGAACCTAGTTTGTTGATATGGCATAGGTAATAGCTGATAGGTGAAATGTACGATTAGATATGTGACTAGTGAATTAGAGAGGCACAAGAAAAGTGCTTTGTGAGGTCTTAAAGGGAAAAGGTAATGACTAATTTGGTGCATCAGGTAAAACTTCACAGGAAAAAATAGCTCTAAAAATGGGTGTTAAAGGATGCATAGGAATCCAACAAAAACCTTATGGAGACCATACCAAACGGAATCAACAAGGAAGATAGAAGGTTATCTTTGTGGGAAGGAAGATGAAAAGAATACTACATTTTTTAAAAAACTTGAAGAAGAAGGTGGTGCCAGACTGTGGAGGGTCTTACATTCCTAGAAAAGAAGGTTGAACTTTACTCAGCATGCAAAAAAACAGCTATTGCTTTTTTTTTTTTTTTTTTTGAGAAAGAGAGTTGGGAGGCAGCATGCTGCAATGGAGAGAGCTCTGCCCCTGGAGTCATAAGACCCAAGTCCAAATCCCAGCTACTGCCACTATAAACTTGGCCAAGTCACTTTACCTTCCTGGGTATCAGTTTCCTCACCTATAAAACGAAGAGGTTGGACTCCATGACATTTAGTGTCTCTTCCAAATCTAGTTCTGTGTTCCCTCATAGAGAACATCAGTTTGATAATAGCATAACTAATGGATTGGGGTAGGAGGGGTAGAGAACAAAGAAATTACAATAGCCTCCAGAAGATGGTCATGAAGGCCTGAACTCCACTGATGGGAGTAGCCATTGACAGGAAGATACAGGTGTTAATAGGAGAACTACGAACACAGAGAAAGATGGACAAGGTTGAACTTATTAACAAATTTGATGTGTAAAATGAGGGAAAGAGGTCAGAGTCTCTTAGAGTGGCAATCTTGGAGTCATCCTTAGCTTTTCTCTCTCTCTCTCCTCTCATATCCAAGCAGTTAGCAAGTCTGGTGAATTCATTCATTCAAGAAGTATTCATTAAGTACTTACTCTGTTACATTTCCCATCTCCATGCCTTTGCACTGGTTGTCCCTCATGCCAGGAGTGCACATCCACCTCACCAATGCCTGTCAGAATCCTTTGTTTCCTTCGAAATTCTGCTAGAGTAGCACCTTCTACATGAAGTCTTTCCTGATCACCTTAACTACTAAACTAATGTCACCCCTCAAAAAAATTACCCGGTATTTATCTTGTATATATAATAGGGCATTGGAGATAGCAATCTATTGTCAGAACAGTGTGGCAACCCCCATGGGGCATGTTCATCTGGCATTCCAGGCCAGCTCATTGAAGCATGGGGGAGGCGGGGTAGAAAGAAAGCCTCCAAGATGTGTTATGGAGAATTACTCTCCCCCTTCCCCACCCAACTTCCAAACATGCAGATATTTTCTGAATGTTTACTGTTATGACTCAGAGATTCATACTGTATGGTAACAAAAAAGTCTTTTCACTGGATGCTGAGCTGGAAGTCCATGAATATATCTGTAATAAGGCCATCCCCCACATGTGGCATGAAGATGATGTTGTGCTGTTTGAAGGAAGGCAGAGTAGTACCAAGCTGAGGGCAGGATCATGATGGAGATTGCCAGCTCCTCTCATGTCAGCTTCTTTCCAGAGTCTTTGCCTTCAGAAATCTTTGTTTTGGTTTTTTTTTTTGGTGAGGCAATTGGGGTTAAGTGACTTGCCCAGAGTCACACAGCTAGTGAGTGTCTCCACCTAGCTGCCCTTGTCTTCAGAAATCTTAAGTTGAGTTGGACAAACCCATTTTCTCTCTTGAAACTGAAAGCCAGGGGAGGCAGAGCCAAGATGGTGGAGAAAAAAAAAAAAAACAGGAACACATCTGAGCTCTCCAAAATTCTCTTCCAAACAACTTTAAACAATGCCTCAAAGCAAATTCTGGAGTGGCAGAACCCACAAAAGGGTCCCTGTGTTGGAACTGGCCACAGGATTCTGTTGCATTGCCTATACTCAGATCTGGGTGGCAGTCCTGGGTCACAGTCCTGGGTCGCAGTCCCAGGGCAAGTAGGAGCATTAGCACACCAGAGCTCGTGGCCACAGGGGAGTGAAGTCCCTGGTCACAGTTCCAAGGCAGAAAAGAGTGCTTGTGGTCACTCAGAGACCAGAGCACAGACCAGGAGAGTAGTAAACACACTTCTCCTTAGATCATACCACCTTGGAAGAACTGAAAGCTACAGACCCCTAGAACTAACTCTGAAAACCACAGCACAAAAACCTGAAGCTTGGGACAGTGCTCTCTGCACTCCAGGACCAAAGCCCAACTTTAATGTAAAGTTAAAAGAAAAGAAATAGTCTGGGAAAATGAGCAAACTACAAAAATTTCCCCTTGGGTGAGATCTGGGAGATCCCTCTTTTAGTCAAGCTGTTACTTTGCTCTCAATAGGAGAACTCCTTCACTCTGTATTGCCTGGTATATGTATATGTAGATAGATAGATAAATAAGTGTATATACGTATGTATGTATGTATGTATGTATATGAAAAAAAAAGATCTTGACCATAAAAACTTACTATGGTGACAGGGAAGATCAAAACACAAACTCAGAAGATAACAAAGTCAAAACTGCTACATCCAAAGCCTCAAAGAAAAATGTGAATTGGTCTCAGGCTATGGAAGAGCTCAAAAAGGATTTTCAAAATCAAATAAGAGAAGTAAAGGAAAAATTGGGAAAATAAATTACAATGAAGCAAGAAAATCATGAAAAAAAGAACCAGTCAATAGCTTGATAAAGGAGGCACAAAAAAATTGATGAAAATATTGAAAAAATACTGAAGAAAATAACACCTCAAAAAACAGAATAGGCCAAATGGTTAAAAAGGCACAGAAATCCAATGAAGAGAAGAACACCTTAAAAAGCAGAATTGGCTAAACGGAAAAGGAGGTACAGAAATTTACTGAAGAGAAAAACTCCTCAAAAAACAGATGGAAAAAGATGTACAAAAATTCATTGAAGAAACTATTTCCTTAAAAAGTAGAATTGACCAAATATAAAAGGATGTACAAAAGCACACTGAAGAAAATAATTCCTTAAAAATTAGAATTGAGGGGCAGCTAGGTGGCGCAATGGATAGAGCACTGGCCCTGAAATCAGGAGGATCTGAGTTCAAATCTGGCCTCAGACCAAACAGTTGACACTTACTAGATGTGTGACCCTGGGCAAGTAACTTAACCCCAATTGCCTGAAAAAAAAAACTTAACCTCAATTGCCTGAAAAAAAAAATTAGAATTGAGCAAGTGGAAGCTAATGACTGCATGAGACAATAAAACAAAGTGGAAAGAATGAAAAAAAAAGGAAGAAAATGTGAAATATCTCATTGGAAAAACAACTGCCAAGGGGCAGCTAGGTGGTGCAGTGGATAGAGCAACGGCCCTGAAGTCAGGAGGACCTGAGTTCAAATCTGGCCTCAGACCAAACACTTGACATATACTAGCTGTGTGACCTTGGGCAAGTCACTTAACCCCGACTGCCTCACTAAGAAAGAAAAGAAAAGAAAAGAAAAGAAAAGAAAAACAACTGCCATGAAAAATACATCTAGGAGAGATAATTTAAGAATTATTGGACCACCTGAAAATTATGATCAAAGAAAAAGCCTAAACATCATCTTTCAAGAAATTATAGAAGAAAACTGCCCTGATATCTTAAATACAGAGTATAAAAGAGAAATGGAAAGAATCTACCAATCACCTCCTGAAAGAGATCCCAAAATGAAAACTCCCAAGAATATTATAGCCAAATTCCACAGCAACCAAGTCAAGGAGAAAATATTGCAAGCAGCCAAAAAGAAACAATTCAAATATTATGGAACCACAGTCAAGATAACACAAGCTTAAGTAGCTTCCATATTAAAGGATCAGAAGGCTTGGAATATGATCTTCTGGAGGTCAAAGGAGCTAGGATTACAAGCAAGAATCACCTACCCAGCAAAACTGAGTAGAATCCTTCAGGAAGGAAAATGGATATTCAATGAAATAGAGGACTGTCAAGCATTTCTGATGAAAAGACCAGAGCTGAGTAGAAAATTTGACTTTCAAATACAAGACTCAAGAGTAGCATAAAAAGGTAAACAAGAAAGAAAGGATCATAAGGGACTTAATAAGGTTAAACTGTTTACATTCCTACATGGGAAGATGATACTTATAACTCCTAAGAACTTTCTCATTATTTAGGCAGCTGGGAGTGTACATAGAGGTCAGAGACGTGAGTTAAATATGCTATCTAAACATCTATAGGATATCTAAAAAATAAGAGTAAGGAGTGAGAAAGAGAAACACACTGGGAAAAGGGGAATGCAAGAAATAGAATGAGACAAATTATCTCCAAAAAAAAGAGGCACAAAAGAGCTTTTACAGTGAAGGGAAGGATAGGGGAAGAGGGAGGGAACACTTAAACCTTACTCTCATTAGGATTGGCTCAAAGAGGCAATAACATGCACACTAAATAGGGTATAGAAATCTATCCCACCTAGGGGAAAGTGGATGGGAAAGGGGATAAGATAAGGAGGAGCAGCTGATAGAAGGGAGGGCAGATTAGAGAAGGCAGAAGTCAGAAGCAAAACATTTCTGACGATGGACAGGGTGAAAGGAGAGGAAGTAGAATAAATGGGAAAATAGGATGGAGGGAAATACAGTTAGTAATCATAACTGAAAAAAGTATTACAGCAAGTTTCTCTGATAAAGCTCTCATTTCTCAAATATATAGAGAACTGAGTCAAATTTATAAAAATAAGAGCCATTCCCCAAC